GCTTATAAAAGTCGCCCTCTGCACTTTTTGGCCCCGCAGTAACAATATTTGACTTTGCCCTGCACGCATCCCACTTCATAATCGTAGTCCCAAGTTAGTTCACAACCCGCACGTATGCTGCACGTCGCGAAGAATGACATGTAGGGGAACCGCAAGTCTTGGCTGTCCACAAACACGTTCTGTACGAAGACGTTCGGCTGACACGAGTGCTGGAAAAAAGTTAATTAGTTTTTTATTTTCATGGATAAGTATTTAAAATTTTAGATGAAACAAGTAAGGGACAATGCAGACATTTATCTGTCTCTTATACACATCTAGATGTGTATAAGAGACAGACATTTAAGTGAACATGACTTCGTGGGTTAATCGAAAAATTACTCAAAAATGAACTTTTTTTCTTTGCCTCAGTGCGTGTACGCACATAAATTTTGTAAACATCAAAATATTTGTAGTCACATATAAATTGTTAACATCAAAATATTTGTAATCGCACATAAATTGTAAACATCAAAATATTTGTAGTCACAGAAGAGGAGCAGCAGTTGACTGCTGTGAACCGCTCTCGCGGTGGTTCAAGAACCGGGTCCAGGACCGGATCCCTGACGGGGTCCCGGGCGGGGTCTCGAGGAGTGTCCCCCGAGCTCCCCGGCACCCCCACCTCCACCTCCCCCTCCGCCGCCCGGCGTCTCCCCCACGCTAACTCCAACAACCCCGCCGGCAAACCCACCCATGGTCCTCGGCACAGCGCCATGTGAGACTGCGATGTTTTGTTTGTTCCAGCAACTAATTTTTTTATCCTAGTATTATTGTGAGGTGTCACATTACCCGATGTTTTGTTTGTATAAGTTAGAAGTTTAATTTTCAGTACCGTATGAGATTTGAGCATCGTTTTTAGTGAACTATTTGTCTTACTAGTTTGTTTGATTATATCCGATAATAATTTTTTTTTATTCTTTTATTGTGAGGTGCAGTTACATCACCCGATGTTTTGTTTGTGTAAGTTAGTTAGAAGTTTCATTTCAGTATGAGATTAGAGCATCGTTCTTTAGTCAATTTGTCTTTCTGGTTTGTTTGATAATATCGAAATCATTCATATTTTTTCATCGATTATAAGTTTTTTTAACGATTTCCTGCATACTGAGTTTGTTTGATAATATCCGAATCATTAATCTTTTTCATCAATTATAAGTTTTTTTGACGATTTCCTGCATACTGAGTTTGTTTGATAATATCCGAATCATTAATCTTTTTCATCAATTATAAGTTTTTTTGACGATTCCCTGAATACTCAGTTTGTTTGATAATATCCGATTCATTAATCTTTTTTCATCGGTTAAAAGTTTTTTTTGACGATTTCCTGCACACTGATTGTCTCGGAACTTCAGATACGTTGCCACGAACGACATTCAGTTTGCCACCTTCCACCCTGAATACAATTGGCCTATTAGGGCAACTTCACACCTGTGACATGACATTGGAGAATGACGTATTGACAGTTATCTACCTATGTAGAATAGCAGCCTCTGTGCTGAAGCATTGTTGGTTTAAAGTTCGTGTGGTGAGATGGGTCAACTGACTACAGCTGCTTAGGTGCCACTGGCAGTCAGGCACCTAAGCAGGTCAGGATGTTGGTCATCCTATTCCTATTCCGTGCCAAGGCAAGAATAGGATGACCGAAGACAATATCTAAAGCATTTAAATGATTGATGTTGGCTCCAGGGCTGATTTGAGAGTTACCTAATTTGCTGATCCACGGCTGCGCACCACTTTTATAATAAACATTAGTCATAGCGTGTATCTGACGTCTAGCTAAATTTTCTACTTTTTAAACAATAGTGGCACCATTAATACTTTAATGGCTTGCGAAACACGTCACCGCGGACGTCGCTTACCTTAACCTTACGCGTCCGCAGCTGACGTTCAGTGTTGCCAACTTTTTACTCGTCGAGCATACCAGCACCTCCCCAGCCGTAAGATGATGTACAATTGCCCGTTGCCCGTTATCTACTAGAGAAGCTGCTACTTTAGCCCTTACCCTACTGATCAAATCTTATTTATACACGTCACATGATCGCACCTTTAGCGGCTTACGAACAACTAATAACTAATTGGTTTATTCAAGGGACTAAATAACATCGTTTACTAACTGCGTATTCTGCAACAAACGCGTGATTTATAATGAATTATTGAGCTTGGTTTTATTCATTTTGAATTTTACTAACGTCTAACAAATTTGACTCTGCTCATCGACATGCATCTGAGTGTTCTGTCCACTACATCAACTTGGCACTCTATGAACAGTATCTCGGATCGACATTTTTGCTACTAATTTAGCTTACTCATGTTGGCCGAATTCCCAGTTTTGGGAAATATGAAACTCTTAATGACTTGTTGCTGGTACGCGTTTTGGTGGCTGCTGGATTGTTATGTATCGTCTATGATCAGAGGTTTTCATTGGGCGTGTTGGACTGGTTTGGATTGGTTTCATCCTCGTTATGAACATTTTAATTCCTTTTAAACTAATTCCAATTGAATGAAGTTCTTCATATTTAACCAAGGGTGACATTTTTCACCAATATCAGACTTACAAGTACGTTTAAGTTTAGCTAGTTTTACGAAGTATTCACTAATTTCAGCTATTGATGTTCAGTCATTTGGCATATATATATAAAATGTTTTTCATATTGTCACAATGATTTTGTGTTGTGAAACTGTATGTTGAAGAATTTAAAAAGCTCAACAACTGGCGTTGCGATGGAATCTTTAGCGAAATTGGCATCAGGCAAAGCAGGAGCATTAATAGCTTTGGTTAACAGGGCGGACATCCTTCACGGCCGCGTGGACAGGCATACGCCTGCAGCACACAAAAACCCGCGCTACCAGCCCACTCTGGAGGTGGGTGCCTGCTGTTGCTGTTAACATATTGTTGCAACCCACTCCAGCTAGAGGTGGGTGCCAGCTGTTGCTGTTAACATATTGTTGCAACCCACTCCAGCTAGAGGTGGGTGCCAGCTGTTGCTCTTAACATGGTATCGTCTTAACCCATTCTCGATGTGGGTGTAATTATTACTGGGTTATATTACTAGCCTGCCTTCGTTAACTGACGCTAGCCGGGTGCCAGCAATTACTTTTTAGCGCATTTTCTCATTTATGGAAAAATGCATTATTGCGCTCGCTATGTCCGTCTGTCTGTCTGTCTGTCCGTCCGTGACCTCAAGTTTTCGTCGACGAGAAAATGCGCTCTCTGTCGCTCACTGCAGTGAGTACTGAGTTATATTTTTTTATGTTATCGTCAGAATAAAAAACAATATAAAAAACAATAGAAATAGGAATAAAAAACAATTACAAAGAAAACAAACGAAAGATAGGAATACCTGCAAGTATTCTTATGTAAGATTATTTGACAGAAGATCATGACTTGTTTTTCTTGCAGTGGATGAAAACTGAGGGAGGTGAGCACTACTCCCGGACCCCCAGCAACCCGGGGTCCCCCCTCTCCAGGACTCCTTTGGCAGGCTCCCCTCCCCCCGTCCCCAGGGGCGTCAGGACCCCCGTGGGGGCTGATCGCGTCGACTTCGTTCGCTCGTGAGCATTCGTTTTTACTCAATATTTCATAAGAAACTTTATCTTTTCAAATATATCATAAGAAACTTCATCTATCACAACACAAAATTCTTAAGTAATGTCTCTGTTTATCGTTAAGATATGCACCCAATATATCACAAGAAACTTTATCTTTTTGAAAAAAATTAATCCCAAGTTAAATTCTCTGTGTATCGTTAAGATATGCATGAATTTATTATTATCTTGCAGTGTAAAGCTTTATTTCTTTCCAACACTGATTCTCACATGCGAGTATTGGCCGTGCTTAACATCGTCTTTAATGCTTTAACCACGTTTCTGTTTTACTGTATTTTTACGTTGTTGGTCATCGTTTCTAGTATTTATACCGTGTCTCTTTATCTACGGTCATTTAAAAAGTTGAATTTGAAATTTAAATTATCAAAATCCACTGTTATTTTCCAGTATTTTACATTGTTGGTCATCGTTTCTAGTATTTCGACCATGTTTCTTTATCTATGGCCATTTGAGCGTGGCATTCAAAAATTCGAAATTTAAATTAATTATCCAAGTCCGCTATTATTTTCCCGTATTTTACATTGTTGGTCATCGTTTCTAGTATTTCGACCATGTCTTTTTAATTTGAGCGTGGCATTCAAAAATTCGAAATTGAAATTATGCAAGTCCACTTGACTGAAGATTACCTCGTGCCCAGGAGGGAGGCATCAATCGCCCCCACGCCCGCCACGTCCCCCAGCTCCGGCAGGCCCCCAGCACCCGCCCCTGAGGAGGTCAACGGCGTCGCCCTCAAGGAAGAAGAGACTGGAGAAGAGGAGCATGGAGGAGAAAAGGGGCAGAATGGAGAAGAAAAGGCGCAGAATGGAGAAGAAAAGGCGCAGAATGGTGAAGGCGAAGTTCAGGAAGTCGCCGAGGAGCTAAAGAGTTTATCTCTGGCAACCACGCCTCCAGCGTCTCCTGGCAAGTCTCTATTTTATGAGTAAATCTAAAGAATAAACTCCTTGTTGTGCAGTGTATCTTCCTAATGCTAAAAGAAGTTGGTTAATTTCTCCGTAAATGCATCTAGTGTTAGTTACTTTAGGACATTGATTAATTTTGTTCCAATTTAATAGCATTGGCAGTTTTAATACCAGAGTACGACTTCGAAGCTACGTGTCAGCTTATGTTGAAATACAGTGTTCTCACTCTGAGATATACACTGTGATTTTTCGTGAAATTTATCATATCTAAAATGATCGTCACTCAGTCCTAATATTGTGATTAAAATTAATCTTCTGTATGGTTTCAACCCTCTACCGCCATATGTCATTCTCCGGGAACATAACTTTCCGATTAAATTATACGTAAACTATTAAGTGTAGCAACCTGTGGACGTTTGTGCGCAACAGAGAACATTTTAAAGTTGTCGTACGTGGCGGTAACCATCAGTGCAAGTCATTTTGCGCTTAAAAGGTCATTTATTTCGATTAATTGTACACTGCTTGTTGATGAAAATTTTAGAGATTTCAAAGTTCTGAAACCCGTGTTCTATTTCTGCGTATCAGGAAAGACGGGCAACTGGCGCGATAGCATCGCCCGCAACAGCGAGGATGTCATCAACCACATATCGAAGCCGGACTGCGAGGGCACCTCCGCAGGGGTACTCAAGGAAAACGAGTCCGTGCATGGACACCTCAAGTTCCACCACCACAAGCTCTGGTAATGTATTACTAGATGAAGCTTATGAGACGAACGCCTGTATGCTCACGGCCTAGCCACGGCGCTGCAGAAATGGACAATTCGACCTGAGCTCGTGGTATGGTACTGAGGCAAGTTCATAGATTATTATGACACACTCTTCTCTCAGGTTCTTATCAAATTTAATAAATGAGTATGATGTCTTCGGATTATAACATTGCAACAAAAATGGCGGATAATGTAATACCTAAAGATTTTTTTAAGTTTATGATGAATTCAAATCTTGAAGTAAATTTTAACACCTACTGGCACTATATAAAGTGCTTTCACTAGATTTAATATATCTGTGTCGTCAAACGATATCGATAATGACCTAAGCATTCATAAGCACCGACGGAAAATGAAGTTTCTGTTTTATGTTCTGGTTTAAATGATGACAAGCGTAACGATGGAATCTTACAGTTCCTGATTGTAATAGACTATGACACTTGTCATTCATGTGTAGAGATTACGGCAGCTAAATATACTCGTATTTCGTTTACGACTAGCTTTTAATGTGGGTTGGTAACTATACTTGTGCGAATGAGTAAGTCTATATGCTATTGGACTCTTTTATTATGACCGTACACGTTTATAAATTTTAGTTCCTTTCTATCGGTAGGCTCAATGATTGAAAATTGTAACGACTAAAAAATTATATACATTAAACTTTGCAGATTTTAGTAAATTCTAACGAAACACCACATTAGTGTAACTATTAAGGAGCTTCTGTAGATATTCCTGCTTCATTAGGGCCAGGCTGCAAGCGTTGTGATACACAAGACTAAGAAGCAGAGCTCGTAGAAACTTTTCGTGAAGTCTCCTTTTTCTTCTTAATCCAACTAAGGGCACGCTACAGTATGTATGGAAGCCAGATTATCTTTCAGATTATTTTAAATCAACGTTTCGCAGCAAGTGTTACAACTGGCCTAAGTCGCATTTTTCGCAACACCAGAAATACAATTGTCTTATCTGCTCTCAATTATTTTATATTTGAAATCCAAAATGACAGATTATTCTCATTTCACAACCACCAACATCAATGATATCGGTTCTGTGTAGTGACCTAATTAATTATTCTTTGATATAATGTTCCTTTCTCAATAAATAGATTGCTTATAATGCAGAAACGGAAGTTTTATGTGTTTCATATGTACAAGCTCGCGATTACCGTAAATATATCGCGCCAAGTTGTTCAATGCATCACGATCTTTAAATTCGCTTCCGTTCTTTTCGTACACTTCTGCTTCAGATGATATCTTGCTTTGGCGTGTGGCGTGACACATCGATTAGTTTAATCTTTTATTGCGGCTAGGGTTGCTTTAGTAGTATTTTTGAGCTAATCGGTGGAGCATAATCTATACTTGAGTTATTTCAATACGCCCTGCTCTTGTGGGTCTGTTACACTCTTCCTCTCCTGAACTTTCTTTTGACGCCCAAATTTTCCTCGTTAACTCTGCTTGTATTAGTAGAATGTCGCTGCTCTTGCAATCTCTTGCAAGAGCAGAATGCTGAGAATGTGAAGCTGAGCCAGCTTAGAATGGGAAGATTTCCGAGAAGAGAACATTTTGTGTTTCTTTTTCTATTGCGGGTACAAAATACACTGAAACCAAAGCCTTGATCCAATTTGCCGATGGCTCTCATGTGGCAACTTATACGTTTAATTCATGTATATTTGATGTTGTATATATGATCTGTTCATTTGTTTATACATCGGATTTTGTGTTCTCCATTCCGTGTCGACGGCACAAGGAAGATGAATTTAATCTTAGGTTCTGCCGTTCTGGTTATTTGCAGGATCGGAAAACTTCTAAAAGGTTATTTCTTATTTCGAATAACTCTGTGTGAGATTTACTTGAAAACTAAGTTGTTCCAGTAAAGGTTAGGTTAGCTTTCCTGCAGTTACATCCAGCTGGCCTCATATCAACTAAGTCTTTATATCATGCCTTATGGAGAACCTCGAAAATGATTCTCACTCTTGATTTCTTTATCTTTGGGAAGGTATTGCTTCATAGCTCATACTGTTTATCTCTTAAGGTAGCTCGCGAACTTGTGCATTGTTAATTTTTAGAACCGAGGGCGATCTTATCTTACAATACAAGACTAAAAAATATTTTTGTTGATTATATCGCAACTTTGTTTTGCGTCTTCTTTAATATGATCGACGGAAAAATTGTTTCGAAACCTTTAAATTGATTACCTTGATTGGCGGCTCGACTAACATCTATTGCGATGAAACTAAGTTAGCATGTCGCTTGCGAGTGTAAGCTGGCATCAGTAAATGTTCTTGTAGCTTAAGATAAGTTAATGGATTTCTCAGATTAATATTACAGGTAGGCGACGTCTTTCCCCCCAGTGATATCGGTGCCGATAAATTTGAACTTAGTTTAGATCGATTAGGTTTACTCTTCCCAATATTTCCTACGGAATACAAAAAGTAAGTATAAGCACAGTATGGTGCACTTTATGTAATGATAATATGTTGCAAGTTATGAATGTTGCTCAAAAATTGTGCAGTTAAAACAGTTATGATTTGATGCTTCTGTAACCGGTAAAGATTCTTTCGGAACGGCTGGAGTCGGTGCACCAACTAAACAATTTGATTACGTAGTAGCAGTGTGATCATGGGGAAAGAATGTGGCTAGCCGCAAGTATGCGAGATGGACCAATGAATTATTTATGAAGAAATTAAGCAATGTTCAGGTTAACGTGCGATAGTTCTTTCGAAATTTTTGGTGCATAGATGGCGACGCCTTTCTTGCAGTAGCAGAAAGTAGATATAGCACTCGTTTGTAAGCAATCGTAAAATTTAAATCACCTGTGGAGCTTTATTTAAGGTTGATGTGAATGCAGCTGTAAGAATTTGTCGAGTTTGTAAATCATTGGTTGAATATTGTTGAATTTATTTGTTGCTCTGTAAGGATATGTTATTTTTACGAATAGCCACCATGCTATAGAAATTTGATACACACTTATGCAAGGTATTCAAATTTTTCGCCAAATAACGGCTCCATCCTATGTTCTTACATCTTCAGTAAACTATATTATGTATTTGAATTTCAATGTACTTGGCGCATATTCGAACTTTTCTGTCATTGTATGCCTCTAAAAATGTGTTGATAACTAAGAACGATTTCATTTTTGCAAAAGACTGGTCGTAGCAATGTTAGTAAATAATTTCTCTCACGATTGTTTTAATTTCACGTATTGATAATTATAATTTGTTTTAAAAATGAAAATGTAACTTACGGTTCACCGGCTGTAAAATACCAAGTATATGAATAGTGAACAAATTATTTATTTGGATGCTCGAATTAACATCGAAAATTGCGGAATGGAATTTGTTTTTCTGTAAAACTCGCCCGTGGTCATTGAATGTAAATACGTACCGGGCACTGGAACATAGAAATACTCTACGTAATATTTCAACAAATGTCCTACAATATTCCCCAAAAGATACTCAGTTTTACTCATTTAAACCATTCAGATAAATACCATTTTATTTAAAGGATGACAATAAATACATATTTGCTGATCGTTCGAAAATACGAAGGGTTCCCCTGGTTCTCCATAATACAATAGTTTAATAACAGGATAAATAAATTATTTGGGGAAAATAGCCTGCCACGCAGATGAGTGGGACAGTTTTTTTCAATAGTTCACTTATAGCGATGAACTATGCAATTGTTCTAGGCCTACCAACTCAGCTCTGCATAAAATATGTTGTCAAACATAGAATTAATACAACACTAACATATCCGATTCAATTCGCCTCTAACAGCATTCGTTGTTGGACTCTTTTCAAAAGGCTGGGGTCGGCAACGGATACTGACACAACTCTCTCACCACACTCTCCTATAACTCTAACTCGCCCTGACGCCTCACTCTTTTGCTCCTGCTCACAACTTTCTTGTTGCTGCTTCTTGATTTCTTTCAGCTGTGTTGACAGCGCCTGAAAATTATATTTAGCTATTTAGAAATGAAAACAGGATAAGTTAAATATCAATAGCTACGAACAATGTTTGCAGTCCTTTAAAACCCATTATCCAAAAGTATGATAATAATTAGAAACGTAAATTACTCTGCTAGCAGTTAGATGTGAAAACTTGGATTACATTCGTATCCTAGCAGTTATATTGAAAACCTCTACTACATATAAATTCAGATCACTACAAAATTTATTGAGACAGCAGCATTCATTGATTACTTCGAAAAATGACCGAACTTTGCTTGAAATTCATGTATTTTAATTACAACATTAATTCATCAGTAGGTTCGTTCATAACATTAATTACTCACGTGATAGGTTTTCTCTCTCCGTTCTACAAGATCTGCAATAAAACGTTCTACGCGGATCTTGCGAGCTTTGGTCCCATCACAACCGCACTCCTAAGGTACAAAAAATGTATCACTCAACAGAATTGGAGCATTAAGCATTTAATCTCAATAATAGAAATTGCAAATTTAAATCTATAATGAGATTGGAATTTAATTTTTATGAATCATCTTGGATTTAATCGAGGTCCACCTTCGATGAAGTTGTGATGAATAATATGAAGACACAGACCATATTTGAAAAGTATGCACCCAGCAGTTAGCTTTCTCTATAATTACGATGTGTGAACTCGAACACTTACGGGATCGTCGGGAGAGCAAGCTTGATCAGCTTCGAGCTCGTAGCGGTCATAGAGGAGCTTGGCTTGCTTGCGTGCCGCGACGACCGTGTGGTGGTGCCGCTGGTAGTGGAACACAGCACCCAGCACATGCCATATGCTCAATTCTGGCCATAAAACCTGCAAATGTTTGCCACACAAGTTAGGAATTATTTCAACAAAATCAATTCGATCAAATTAATATAACATAAAAACAACAGTAGTTTATAAAAATTTCAAAGTCATGGTATAACATGCCAAATGGTTGAAATATCAGGAAGTGAAGGAAATTTTAACACATGTCAATACAATTCATAACTTATTTAGCTCTATATCATTAAGTAATTATCAATTCTTTCATAAGATCTGAAAAAATCATTCGTTCAAAATATGATAGAAATTATGAGCTTATCTAAACACAAGTTAAATGGATAACAAGTTGAGAGTCCTATCCAAAAAGTGATCAGTTTATATAGTTCCAGTTATTTCGACATAATTTTTACAAACCTTAGTGAAAAAAAGGCATGAAAATTGTGATTGCCATAGTAGAAAGTCAGAGAGTCTGGTTTCTCCGGAAGTTCTGATGACCAGGTCGGGGTGGCAGGACTGAGCTGTGTAGAGACACTGCTCCAGGAGCCGTGGAGTGATATCCGTCTCTTGCAAGCGGCCTTCGGATATTGCGATAGCACATTCTCGTACAGCTGCAGTTATTTCATCACGGGATGTATATGCTAGAGCAAGATTTAAAAAACATTTGGTGTTATTTCTGGTCATAAGTACAACTTCAGCAGTCTGAGCTCGAAGATATGTAGGTAGGAGATCAAGGTTTCCAATAATACGAATACAAACACCATGTTTGGCCAAATTTTCTCCCTCGTTGAGTACCTCTTCAAACTTGTTACTGGCCAGAGATAACAATCCCTCCACTTCTTCTTTAGATCTCTTGAAATTTTCAATACTGAGTGCATAAGAAGTTACCTCAGTAATCCCTAAATCCCTGCACCAGGCTAAAACATAGGTAAGGGTTTTGAAGCCAGCAATGTGGCCATGGAAGGTCTCTTGTTCATGCAGTTTGGCATATCTACGGTTTCCATCCATGATGAGAGCCAAATGTTTTGGAATAGGACCAACCTTCAGCACTTGAAGTGCCAGCCATTCTGGCCAACTACGCTTTTCTGTGACCAGCCAAGAACTCATCTGCAATGGATGAGATGAAGTAAGAGTGAAAGAATGTCTCCCACAACTTTATAAGTGTGAAAAATTCAAAATAAAAGTTCTCAACAACATTCTACATTGTTTTTTCTCAAATACAAAGTAATAGTGAAGTAATACTGAGATAGATCTTAATAACTCAAAATTACCATTAGACTCAAACTCTAAATAAGGTAGACCTTGAACAAACTTGCTTCAATTTTGGTTTTGAAAAATGCACCAGATGTATAGTGTCATAAATATTACAACCCACAATGATGTCAGTCACCACACAGCAGATCCTGCACTCAATTTGTTGCTCATCAATGAATACTTGGTAATTTTAGTCAAAACCACACTTAGTGGCAATGAAATGACACAAAAAATATGCTGCAGTTTGATCTTGCTAGGATGGTGTGGTTCAGTTTTTTTTTTTTAAATTGATCAATTCATGGACTGTGGAAACTCAAGTGGCTCTGACAATTTGACATCAGATCCATTTTTAAAATTATTTATTCTATCAATTGATTCATGCATTGTCTCTGAATTTACACAAGTGTGCAAAATAGCAGATCAGTTGGACAGGTAGAAGTGGGGGAAATATTGATAAGATTTGTAGCAGACAAACAAGAAGTGAAGTTAAAGAGAAGTGTTGTAATAATAGGAAAAAGCTCTTCACAAATCAGACAAAAATGCCCTTGCACTAGTTGCACAGCCTGCACTGTGCACATAGACAATTCCACCTAATTTAATCAATTTAATGGCCTTTGTCCAATTTATTTCTCTGAAAACTGAAATAAGTAGTTCATTTTGCTGAAAATTATTCAAAATCATGCCTGAAACAACCATTTTTACCCCTAATTTCTATTTTATTATTACAATTTACATTTTACAACACTCCTCTTTAACTTTACTTCTTGTTGTTTGTTTCTTGTCTGCTACAAATCTTATAATCAATATTTAACACACTTCTACAGTAGAAGTGTGTTTTGCACTTTATGCAAATTTTGCACATTTGCATAAAGTCAGAGACAATGCTTGAATCAATTGCCAGAATAAATAATTTTCATTTTAATATTCAAAAATAAAATTAGAAATTCAATATAGATTTATAACATCAGAGACACAGCCTCACAGACCTCTTTAGAACTGTTGTCTTTAAAAAATAATTTTTAAATTCATATGAATTTTACTACACTTCACTTTAACATTAACTTGCTTTCTTATTGTCTGTCTGCTACATTCAATTTGAAATTTTGCACGTTTGCATAAAGTTGGAGACAATGCATGAAAAAATATAAATTTTTACAAATATTTTATAAAATCATTTTACAAATTTAATTTTTTTAATATTAACAAATAAAATAAGAAATTTATTGTACATGTGTACAGTCACAGTGTAACATCTGAGACACCAGCTTCTTTAGAAGTGTGGTCTTCAACCCTCTACTATGGATGCAATTGCAATGATGGTCAGATAAGTGAGATAATACTACCCACCGTAATTCACATTTCCCACTTCACAGCAACACAACAGTGAGTGTAGCCCGATCCACCGGCACCAGGCGTCAACCAATACTGACAATAGCTGTTTGACTGTTTCACTCAAGGCCAGGCGTTACTACTTAACTATTATTGCGATTAATTCGACAGGCAAATCTTGCCTGTTAGGCATTACAATTCATAGTGGCAAAGCAGAGAGTTTTTTTAGACTCTCCCACAAGTTCATTTTTGAGTCCTATAAGTAGACCAGTAAAGTATCATGGATACCAGCATTATCATACATAAGAAATTGGTTTAAATCTTGACTAAATGAGGAAATTAAAAATGAACTGATTCTAAAAAATCTCTGGTTTGTCACTATGCATTACATTATTGCTTAGGTATCTATCCGATTAGGTAGTTAACTCAATCATTCGTACTTTTATAAGGATGAAAAATCATTTAAGAACGACGTAGCCTATTGACCTTTAACTATGTGGAGTAGCAGCTTGTGTGCTGAAGCAGTGAAGCATTGTTGGTTTAAAGTTCGTGTGGTGAGAACTGAGACGGGCCAATTGACTCTTAGGTGCCAGGAATAGGATGACCGATGGCGAAGGCGATGTCGCGATGACAATATCTAAACTTTTTCTAAAGCATTTAGATGGTTGATGTTGGCTCCAGGGCTGATTTGAGAGTTAATTTGCTGGTCCGCGGCTGCGCACCACTTTTATAATAAACATTAGTC